ACTGAATTCCTCATCCTTGTTTTTAATACTTCTCAAGTGTCAACCCTTCTGAAACTCACTTGCAAAAATCAGATTGCAGGACTGGGGCTTTCGTTTGAAAGCAGCCTAAAAATATAGTCAAGTATTTTTCATTCAAATGTATGGTAACTTTGGATCTCTCTTAAATGGCAGACTCTTCAGATTAGGGACCTGGTCTCCAGGCCAGCAGGATTGACAGTTTCCCATTTAATAAAATAAATATGGTAAGAGATTTAAAATTGGGAATAGTACTGTAAATTAAAAATTTATGTGACTCAGCAATGACTATATAATTATTATAATAATTGTCTGAGCAAGGATTTAGGTCTAAATGTCTGCATGTTCTTAATTTCTTTATGTGTTCACAATTCTAAAGAATGATTTAACAGGATATGAACATTAAAAAGACAAAGAATTAGTAGAATCAGAAGATTATTTTGTCTTCTGTAGTATCTTGAAGAAGTACAGGAGTCAAAAAGCAGCATGGCAAAAAGACATTTTCTACTCTTAAAATTAGTAGCAGCAGGCGTTTCTGGAGGCAGTCCCCTGTGGATCCTTAATTCCTATCTTTCCTCACAATTTTTAAAAAAGCTGGAGTAAAGGGTTGATTGAAGTTTCTCAGAGTATGAACGGCAAAATAACACAGCCAGATCGTTAAGTGACACCTCCTTTACCCCACTTCCAACCTGTGCATCCATCTCATTTGTTAGCACAATTCATCAGAAGCATTTATAATACTGTAGAAAAGCCTTACTGTTCTTTACGTTCGCATAGGCTGCTTCCCTTCCTTGTTTCTGTGGCAACATCGCCTCTTGTATACATGGAAAATGTCACGTTCTCACATATTTGCTGTACTTTCAGCCAGTATCTGAACACGCTTCACTTACTGGATGGAAACGTGGAGGACACTTGGCATCAGATCAGCAGCTAGATCTCCACAGGTCAGGATGGCTCTACCATTGAAACCACACCTTCAAACACCAGCAAAGCTGGAGAGGGGCACCACAGCGAGCACCAGCCATCCTATGGCAGGTTCTCTTATTTCCACAGATGTAAGGCCAGGGAGCTACTTGGATACAGTTCTTTCGATAATACATTTATAGACGAGATGTTTTAACTCCAGAAGAGCGATTCACAGTGTAGGCAATACTGATCGCCAGCCATATCAGCTATTTCCTGGCAGGCAACAACCTACTTGGAGAATCAAGGGCCAAAGGCAAATGTAGCCAGTCCCCAGCTGTTAGGAGATGTCCATCCCCGACATCATAAATGTCACTACAAATCAAGACGAATTATCAGTTGAAAAAGAAATTTACATAATTGCTGTCTTATCCCATTTCTTTCCCTTAATGTTTCTCTAAGTAATTTCCTAGCTATTAAAGACTGCTCTAGTAATTGCTCACAAAACAAAGCACAGTCTTCATATTGTAACACGGATTAAATTTTCAGCCTGACATGCAGTTACTATCGTCCTCTTGGATGACCGCACTTTTCAGTATCAAGGCTTTAGTGTGCCATCTGGTGGATTTTCAGCATTTCATGCACTTTGTTTAAGTACAAACCCAGTGATACAGAGATGCCTGGCATACTGACCGGAATATCTACCTTCTTTGGCCAATGACAGTATTCATCTTACCATCCTGTATTTGCTCAAATGAGATTTTTGCCAGAAGTAATAATTTCTCTCACATTTCTCATCAAATGAATTTTTACAACTGTAAATATTATAACTGTAGCTAATCCCTTACACTGATTGTGGTCCTCTCAAAGAAACTTCCACAAATCTAGCCTAACACAATTCCATATTCAGGGCCACAAGTTGAGAACCTCAATGACATTTAGATGTTTAATTCTCACTGACCAAACATTCTAGGATAATCTCTATTTGGGATGAGGGTCAGAGATATTGAAGCAAACCTATTACCATAAAACTTCAAACAAAACTGAGATTTTGAGTACTGATTCTTCATTCCAAGTACCACAGCAACAACTGTCATTAAAAATATGGTAGGTTTTTATGATATTACATAAAAAATGTGAAGCCAGCTAAAATATTTGACAAAAAATTCTGAGCATGAGTTTTCTACTGTATCCACGCTTTCTTTGTAACTCTGAGGCATTTCTTCATTTCTCTTTTTTATAAAGCATGAGTTGTGTGATGAGGAACCTGGGATGGATTCACTTTCAAAACACACCGAGTCCTTTGAGCACACAGCCCTAAGAGGGTGTGTATCTTCTACTCTAGCCATAGACACTTCCACTCTGCACGAGATGCAGTATATTCCATCACAGCTAAGATTAGCAGGATTTTAATGCTAGATGGAGGCTGCCCTCTGAATGAATGAGCTGCAGCTGCCACAAAACAGCATGAATAGGCAGTTGGAGGGGGCTTCTACCCAACATATGATGTCGATCCAGAAACCTGTATTGAAGATGGCAATGACTGTATGAGAAAAGACAGCTGAGAGGTACTGGATATGTGGCTGTTAATGAATATCCTTACTGGAGGCTGGCCTTCTTTCCATAAAGAGAAAACAAGACAAACACAGATAAAACAGAAAGGAAAAGAACAGCAGCGATTGAAAATGCAGCTTTTGTTTTTGGTCCTGATTGTTACTGGCAACCTGAATACTAAAGAAAAACAGGCTCAGCACAGTTTTATCAGCCACTGCAAGACTTGGCAAACATATCAACACTGTGCTGTTTTAAACATTGATTTTAGCTGCCTTTTTGGACACAGGCTCACTGCAGTGCTGCTAAAAGGTCAGCTGAGACAGACTGTTTTTAAACTGAAAGCTAATGTCATGAAGTGAAGATATATAACTAGGGAAGAAAAAGAAGATGATAAATTAATGTGGGGGATATCAGGATTTAAGTGGTTAATGTCATGAAGTGAAAAGAAGGTATACAACTAAGGAAGAAAAAGAAGACAAGAAATGAACATGGAGATATCGGGATTTAAGTGGCCCACATGGTTTTCTGAACCGTGACTGGGGGAGGTGACAGTAGCATTGAGATTCCTCTCTTCGGTCGGGACATCCTCTACAATCAGGTAATGAAAGTTGAAGTCATGGGATGAGTCTGAAGTCTCTAGGAGACTGCAAGACAACACTGCTTTTGGTCCAGATATGCTATGTTGCATCAGCAAGCAGCATGACCTGACACGTGTGGGTTTTCAGAGAAAAACAGCTGGTGCCGGGACCAGGTATCTGTACTAAAAGTTTCAAGGAAGTTATTTTGAATTAGCTCCAGCCTGACCCCATAGACTTAATGACCGTTAGGATTTAGAGTTCACCATCCAGATTACTTTAGCCTGAAAGGAAATCTGGAGGTCCCAAGAGCATTTTGCAATGAAAACCAAAGCACAGTAGCAGGGGTAAATGAAGATTCAATTAGAAGGTGCAGACCTGATCTCTGTAGGAATTTTCTGGGCACAAAAGTCCACAGGAATAACCCTGTATTGCTGCAAGAGCATAGAGAGGAAGCCCTTCTGGCACCATCTTGTCCAGCCTGACTACAGGGACAAAGACAAAAATCCACATTTTTGTTCATGTTGCCTTTCCATCTTATTCTGAATTTCTATTTAAGGAGCAGAAATAGGTTTTTATTATACCGGATAAAGTTGAGTGTAGCCCTCAGTGTATTACATGTTCTCACTGCAAACTAAATCCACTCATAAATAAGAGTTATAAAACATATATTTCATTTAGGAATAGAAGTGCATACAGTTATTGTATAAAGTCTTTAACCAAGATTGAAAGCACATTGCAAGGTTTAAATATGATCTGAATAGATGAAATAAAAAAATACAAGTATTTCTTCCAGAAAGCTGAAAGCATATAACATACAATTAATTTCAACAGATATTAAATACCTCGGAGGATTAAAGCCACAAGAGAATACAGATTACAGTAGTTCAAGACTTTTTCTCTTTCAATTTTCAAGTTCAGTACCACATCTGAAAGCCATTTTTATGTCAGTTCTTTCACAGTAATCCAACTTTACTCGCAGTAAAGTACTGCAAATTATACCATTTGTTTTACCTGTGAAATCAACAATGTCCTGTCTTCACAGTATATTCAGTTAAAGAAAACCTTCTGGCGATGTAGTATTTGAGTAGTTTCAAAGGCTTCTGCAACACTTAACATTCTACAGGAAGTTCAAGGATTTCTGATAGCTGACGTAAGGCTGCTTTTCCAGAACAACAGTGTTTCTGAGGCCTCCACAGTGTAAAAGGAATTTTAACACCTTTAATAAAATTGATATAACAAAAATTTGAAACTCCCCATGTAGATTCAATCAGTGTAGAAGTGTACATTAGAACAAGTTAAGTTGATATAAATTAGATTTAAATCAAACAAAGAATACCTTTTCAAGGTTTTGCACCAATTCGGTTAAAACAATTTAAAACAAAATCTAAGGCAATGCTGTGCAACTTTGCGCTCATACAATGACTGACTTCTCTGGACAAAGTCTTGACTAATCAGCCCCAAGTTCCACCAGTTTCCGTACAAGTCCACCGTACAAGCTTTGGTTTTGCTGTTACCGTGGCTCACTTTGCCTGTCATTGCAGCGTACAGCACACCAGCATCCCTTTCTGTGACTTTTGTAAGCTTTTTCCTATCTTCCAGCATGTTGTTAATAAAAGTGTTACAAAAGTTCTCATTATATGCACAAATTAGATCCAGGTCCTAGCAACAGCAAACAAAGCCTGTATTCTTTAAATCGCCATATATGAAGAACACCATTTAAGGTAAATTGACATCATGTCTTTTGTCTAAATTACCAAAAGTCCGATTTAAATTTAACAGTCTTCCGTCTAAACTACCAGACACTTGGTTTAGGTTCATGGGGCAATTGGATGGGGG